GTTGCTACCCTGCACCCTGATTGGCTCGTCTCCTCCCCACAACCTCTCAGCAAGGGGTGTTCAGTTGCCTACGGATGGACTCTGAGTCTCCACTCTGCACTCGCCCACCTTTACAATGACACGATTTCTTGTTCCTTGATGCCTGACACCCAATCCCTTCGACAGCTCGTGATCAAACATGCTGGTGTGCTTCTTCCATGTGGGCTTTGTTGCTTCTGAGCTAGTTGGCCGCTTGCTTATCTTCAAGCCTTTAAGACCCCAGATGCTAGGAACTTGTACATGGACCAAGAGGCAGTCATTCAAACAGGGAGTAGGGCCTATTGCAAGGTTTAAGATCATGAAAGGTGTGGGTCAGGGTTGTATCATTTTACTGTACTTATTCAATTTGTATGCTGGACAAATAATCAGAGATGCTGGACAAAATGAAGAATGTGCCATCAGGATTGGAGAAAGGCTTAATAACACCCTTTATACAACAACCTGGCTTGTTGAAAGAAAGGCAACCTGAAGCACTTGCTGATGATGATCAAGGACTGCAGCCTTCAGTTTGAGTTGCAATTCAATGTACAGGAAACACTTCCTCACAACTTGACCAACATCACATGAAGAAAAGATTGATGTTCAAGGGTTTCATTTTGCTTGGATCCACAATGAATGCTCATGGAAGCAGCAGTCAAGAATTCAAAGGGCATATTGCACTAGGCAAATCTGCTACCTAAGATAGCTTTAATGTGTTGAAGAGCAATATCTCATTTTGAGAAGGAAGATGTGCCTGACCCAAGCCATAGTCTTTCCAATTGTCTCATATGCACGTGAGAGCTGGACAATGAATGAGTAAGAATACAGAGGCATTAGTGCATTTGAATTATAATGTTTGCCAAAAAATATTGAAAGCACTGAGGACTGTCAGAACAAACATCTGTTTGGAAGAAGCACAGCTGTCAGGCTCCATAGAAGTGAGCCTTGTTACAAAGTCTCACCTACTTTGCATATGTAATCAGGCGAGACCAGTCCCTGGAAAAGAACATTACCTTTGCTAATGTAGCGGGTCAATGAAAAGAGGAAACCCTTGCTGAGATGGATTGATCTAGTGCCTGCAACAATGGGCTCAAACATAACAATTGTGAGGATGGCGCATGACTGGTTCCATTTTTGTTCTGTTGTATGTGGGATTGCTATGAGTTGAATCCAACTCTACAGCTCCTAACACCCATAACAAGCATTTTCAAAACAAACCAAAAAAAAGACCCCAGATGCTGTATCTTCTGATAGTCAGGCACACCTTTGTCTTCAGTGATCATATCAGGAAGGTGGGCACCCAATGATCTGATTTTTAGTTCTTTGGTGTCTGATAACTGGTCCCTTCTGCACCTCGTGGTCAGACAGTCTGCTGTGCTTCTTCCATGTGGACTTTGATGCTTCTCAGCTGGATGGCCGCTTGTTTATCTTCAAGCCTTTAAGATCCCAGGTGCTATATCTTTTGATAGCCAGGCACCATTAGCTCTCTTCACCATATTTGCTTATACACACGTTTGTCTTCAGTGATTGTGTCAGTAAAGTGGGCACCCACTGATAGGATTTTCAGTTCTTTGATGTCTGATAACTGATCCCTTCTACACCTCATGGTCAGACAGGCTGGTGTGCTTCTTCCATATGGGCTTTGATGCTTCTCAGCTAGATGGTCGCTTGTTTGTCTTCACGCCTTTAAGACCCCGGACGCTATATCTTTTGATAGCCAAGCACCATCAGCTTTCTTCACCACCTTTGCTTATGTTCACATTTTCTTCAGCAATCGTTTCAGGAAGGTGTGCATCCTTGAATGGATAGGCTCATTTTTAACAACATCCACCTTCAATGCATTGTTGGAAGAAAATGCTGTACGTGACTGATCCTTGAAATCTAAGTCACTGTAATAAAAATGCATTTTCAGATTGTTTACTGTGGTGAAACACCCAACATTTGCCATTCTAACTACTTTTATGTAATACATTCATGTTATGTAACCCTCACCACTAGTTCCAATGTTTTCATCACCCTTAACAAATATTCAGGCCCCTGTACATGGTGACTCCCTTTTCCTCTTCCTACCCACCCCTGTTGCTCTGTTAGGTGCCACCGACTAGGTTCCGATGCATAGTGACCCCATGTACCACAGAAGGAAACACTGTATGGACCTGCACTACCTTCACAAGCCTTCCTGTATTTGAGTTCATGGTTCAAGACAGTCACATGTCAATCCATCTTGTTGAAGGTCTTCCTCTACCAAGCATGATGTCCTTTTCCAGGGACTAGGCTAAGGTGACCAGATTTTAACATTGGTAAAGTGGGACAAAAGCGGGACACCATTGATAAAATTCATATCCTGGCGAAATAGTCACATGGCAGCTGAAAACCGTATACCTTAGCTTGTTGTGGATTCTTTCCAAAAATTGGGGACTTTTTTAAAACGCCTGTCCCACCAAAAGCGGGATGTCTGGTCACCTTAGACTAGTCCCACCTGATAACATGGCACAGTACCTGAAGCAAAGTCCTGCCATCCTTACTTCTAAGGAACATCTGGCTGTACTTCTTCCAAGACAGATTTGTTCGTTCTTCTGGTAGCAGTCCAGAGTAGTCAGTATTCTTCACCAACATCAGAACTCAAACGCAGCAATTCTTCTGTCCTTTTTATCCATTGTCTAGCTTTTACTTGCACAGGAGGTAACTGAAACACCATGGCTTGGGTCAGGCATATCTATTCATCAAAGTGGTATCTTTGCCCTTTACCACCTTAAAGAGGTCTTTGCAACAGTTTTACCCAATACAGTAAAACCTTTCATTTCTTGACTGCAGCTTCCATGGGCATTGATTCTGGCTGCAAGTAAAATTAAACCATTGGCCATGTCAGTATTCCTCCACTGGTCCACCTGTGTAACCCCTAAGCTGTGGCGTCTCTCTATTTGCCTGTCCCAAGTACTCAAGAGAAGTGAGACCAGGCATGTGTCCTTTGGTGTCTGACTTACTTCACTCAGCACACTGCCTTCAAGGTTCATCCATGACACAGCATATATGCGAGCTCCCTATCTCTCGAGGGAGACATGTATTGCTTTTTGTGTGTACGTTTCCTGCGGCCTGTCTACCACTAGGTCATCATCCTGCCTGCAGTCTCCCTGATGCGGGCAACAGAAGGTGAGTGGGGTCAGCCTTCACACTAGCACTCTTCTAAGCACTGGGGATGAAGCGCTCAACAAACAGACCACCCTCCTGGTGCTTACAGGCTGGCTGGTGACGAGAAATCAAGTCAGCAAGTGGGCAGTGTTTTAGACAGTGACGAACACTTAGAGGAAAGCGAGCAAAGGTGGCTGTGGGCTGGGGGGCTACACGGTCAGTCAGAGGGCACACGGCAGTGAAGGAGCCCCACGGGCACCCGTGGAAAAGTGCTCCTGATGGAGAACAGGAATGGGATGAACGAGGAGGGGGCCCGGGGCAGCTCCCACAGAGGCCCTAGCAAGGGAGCTGGAGGAGATAAAGAGGCGGTCAGAGGGCAGGGGAAGAACCAGGGCCTGCAGTGCATGGCCTCTGCTCTGAGATGGGCTTTGAGTCGAGAAAGAACGGTACCTGACGCGACCACTGTGACCATGGGAAGAACGGGGCAGGGGGGCAAACAATGGAGGGGGCGTCTACGATCAGTGACAACAAAAAGAGCAGCCACAGGGGGAGTGGGGATCTATGGAATAAGAGACATTACACGTGGGGTGAGGAAAAAGTGATAGGAGCGGGTCCGAGGTTCACGGAAGATCAAGTAAGCCCACAGCCCTCCTTGTCTCCCACAGGAGGCTACAAACCTGGGACAGACACCGGAACAGCTGGTGAAGCTAAACGGTGAATGGGACCAGCAGGCCGAGGAGGCTGGCCGGGGCAGCTAGGGCATAAAGAATGATCTGATGTGGTAACTCCCACCTAATGACTGAGTGGGGACCATGCAACCTGGGGGTGCTACCTCTTTTCCTGGAAGATCTGGGCAGGATGCTGGCAGGATCCCAAGATTCCATTAACAGGGTTCAGACTTGAACCACAAAAGTGCGACTGGTCAATTTTGCCATCCTGCTGGGTAGAAAGGGGCATCTCAGAATGAGGGAAAGGACTCTCAGTGCCATCAAGAAAGAGGAGCCTGGACCCACGATCCCTGCTCCCCGAAGCTGCTTATTCCAGGAGACAGGGCAGCAGCACCAGAGCAGGCCAGGCTACCACCGGCTTCCTGCCCACACAGCAAGGAAAGCCAAGTCGCTGCAGACAGGGCACTCATGTGTATAAGGGATACCTGCCTCCAGGCACCTGATGGGGAGGCCAGGGAGCATTAGTGCTGAGCACTCCAGCTGAGGCTTATAGCACAGTGGGGGTGGGGGGTAGGGCACAAGTGAGAGACTGAGGACTAGAGAATGGCATACCTCTGGGCTCAGTTAAGAAGCTTAGACTGTACTCTGAGTATTTCTGACCCTAAATTGTAATCTGTAAATTCCCACAGGCATGCGTGTTGTCTGTGAATTCTGTGAGCTCAGCACAGAAGCAGGGAGGAAGAAATGTTGTCAGGATTGGGAAGGAAGATGCAGGGCAGAGGCAGGTCTGAGGACAGCCTCACCAGGCAAGGGCCTCAGGCTGATGTTGAATTGGATTGTCCTCCCTCCTTGTGAAGTTAGAGAGGGTCAGATGTCAACCCCACCCTTTTTACAGTAGCTTTTCTTCTTCAGGTTTCTTCTGACCTGAACCCTACCAGTCCCAGTCCCTCCGTGGACCTCCACAGACAGAGCCAGGAACCCCCAGGGCACTACAGAGAATCCACTTTGAGGGTGGGAGTAGGCCTGCACCCAGCACCTGGAGAGGCCTTTCAGGTCCTCTCTCAGAGGCAGGAAATGAGTCCTCTGCTCTAAGCTGGGCACACGCGTTTTCATTTCTTTTTCTCCATTCCACGTCCTAGCCCACAAGCATCACTGAGGCAATGGCAATGGCAGCAGCAGCATTGGGCCCAATAGGAGCCTGATACTGAGGAAGAGAGGCTCCTCCCGGCCGAGGCACAGGGCAGCTAGGAAACAGCCTCCTCAAGCCATCAAGCTGCAGCTCCTGAACTCACCCCTGGGCCATGCAGGCCCTCCATGACAGGACACGCACAAGGCAGATCTAAACAGCATCTCAACGCTCTGAAAGAGAACTGCTGGGGGAAGCTCAGGTCCCAAAGACTGACTGGGACTTGCATCCTGAACAAAGCTTGGTCAACTGCCTGCTTAAATAGTACAAGCAGCATCTCCCAAGGATTTACAAAAGAGCCAAAGTCTCATAATGCATACACCAAAATGGCTTGCATCCAAAATTCCGGGCAACTTCTGGTTGGAGCAATGCCTGCCAACTTTGGATAGTGGTTATCCAATTTAGTAAGGAAAAAAATGTCTTTGACTCCACTTTACATCAATCTCCAATCCATTCCACACAAAAACGTGTCCCGCTGCCGAGGCTGCTCAGGAATTCACATTTCCGCAGAGCCCGTGCCAATTTCACTGGCGACTCTGGTAGGACTCTCGATGCTGATCATCTGGCTGCCCTCCTCGCCATGGGTCCACACACAACGGATGTGAAAACCTGCTCAACGGGCTGAGCTTTCCCCCTCGCTGCAGTGACCCGAGCTCAAGGCGCTGCACACAGCGTTCAGCGCCACCACAGGCCTGACAGGGCACCGTTTGCCCCTCACAGCTCGTGGGGTACCATCTGGAACAGAGGACGGCTTCCAGGGCTCAACCCTGAAGCAGCGGGCCATGGCCTTTGAGACCCTGCCCCAGCCACAGAAGCCCTGGAACAGACGATGAGGACCACGCTGCGCTGGAACTTGCCGTGACAGTGTGCACAAGCTTCTCAGCCTCAGAAAAACTGTCAAAATGATTCTCTACCACAAATCCCAAGGTCAGGTTGTTAGTCTCTTATGTTTAGCCTCACAGTGCCTGATCACTATGGTTTTCGAGAGCGCCTAAAGTAGATTTTAAAGTCACCTACTTCTGTATGATTTTCTCTACTCGCTCACCTGACTGCACAGGTGACAAATGTTAAGGATGATGCAACGAGAGGCCAGTGAGCCCAGGATGTGGCATGTGCTGCATATTGGACACGACTGCAAGCCGCTTCTTAGGACGAACTTGCTCTGAGGCTTTTTTTTTTTTAAGCAAGAGTCAAGTCTGATCTATTTTTCCTGCTTTCCTTAGAGGGGACAGTGACCTGGCTTCTAAATGGCCTGGAAGCTACAGCTGGCAAAGAAAAGACGCCTGGTTATTTTTAGAGCTCTACAAGCATAAAATACAGCACGGAGCTGTGACCTGCAGCGATGCACTGAGAGCAGCACATGGAGCTGTGACCTGCAGCCCAGCACGTCAGGCGAGGCGGGTGGCAGGTGTCTGGACACACTGTGGACCAGCAGCCAGAAAGACCAGCTCCTTGCCCACACAGGCTGAGTTGCACTCTGAGGGCACGGCATTATGGTAAGTTATTTTCATCTTTTTCTTCCAGTTTACTTACAACAAGGTGAATTAATGAGCCTTCTCTGCAAATGAAGACATCGCAACCTCATTCCTAACATAGCAAGTTAATTACTTCAAATACGGCTCCAGCGAGTAAATCTGGAAGCTGGTTCCTTCCACAGGGAACGCAACCGGGCAGCTAGGACATGCCAAAGTAGAGCCCAGCTTCCCCATCACTGACCAGGACACCCAGGCACCAACTCCACAGCCGTGCCACCACCTTCCCAGGTAAGCTGGCAGCCCTTTCCTCAGGGAGCCCAGCACAAAGGCATGATTCCAGATAGCACTTTCTGACAAATTACAGTGGCAGAGCCACCTAAGAACTTTTAATAGCAAGTGTTGGCAAGTTATTTCTAGAAACCGTTTGGTCTGTGACTCTCTGGCTTTATAGTACATTCTGTTTCTGCTCAGCCACACGAACGTACCTTCAATGCCGGAATTTGGGTACTGACCTAGTTACAAACTACGAGACTTTAATCCGTGTTCTATCTTATTTCTCTTGACTTGCATTATCTAACCTGGGAAAACTTCAGGCACATTTCTGGCAAATTTATTGTAAATAAAAACTTATTTGTTCCTTGGAGCCCTAATGTTTTATGTGAATAAACAGGTGGGCCTGTCTCTCTCCAGGTTAAAATGCCATTTTTTGGCTGGATGAAATGGCCCAAGCACAACTCCTACAAGCCCACCCACTGTCCTGGTTCAGAGGTCGTGACAAAGACGCTGCTTCGTGAATTAAAGTGGCATCTCAAAGAGCGTGAGTGGTTACTACAAGAGATTGAAAATGAACAGAAAGTGAAAAGAACAGGTGTGGACTACAACTGGCTGAGCAACGGCCAGAATCCCCACACGACTATCCCAGCTACTGAGCAAAGGCAGCTGGAAGTTCTCTGCTCACAAGTCCCACCGTGCCAAACCGGAGCGATTCTCAGCAGGTAAAACACTATTCTCTGTTCTGGTGAGGGAGTGGTGTTACTGGGGGCCACCGAGTCCATTCCGACCCATGGGACCCTGTGCTCGATGAAACGAAACGCTGTCTAGTCCCGAGCCATCCTGACAACTGTTCCTGTGCCGAGTCCTTTGCTGTAGCTACTGTGTGAGGTGCACTACTGTGAAACTCAAGGTCCTTGGATAGACTGGAAATTGCTTTTGCCCAAGTAAACTCCCTGGGGATAGCTGAAACAGAAATAAGTCTGTTACCACCTCGTGGCCTAAATTGTTGTCATGCTACGAGGAGCATAATCTGAAAGCAGTGGGGAGCTCACTGGAGGTGGGTGGCTTAGCTGGACTGTGGCAGTGCGGGAAGGATAGGACACAAGGGCACTCCTGAACCGGAGACTCTTTGCTGCTTTCCCTCTAGATTTCGAGAAGTTTTGGCAGAAAATGACATCTTGCCATGGGAAATTGTCTACATCTTCAAGCAAGTTCTGAAAGACTTCCTCAGCAGCAGTGACAGAGGAGGGCAGCCAGAAGGTCTGGAGGGTCCGCAGCACGCACGCTGCTGTGCTCCTGCCGCAGGCCCCGTGGGTGTTCCCATGAGTTTAGACAAAGACGAAATCCCCACTATCTCCAGCTTTGTAGACAAAGACACCAAGAGCAGGCTCCCCACATTCTCACACAGGATATGGAACCTACCGTATTACTATCCATCCAATTAAGGTACTTAAGAGTCAGAGGAAATTTGTGGCCACCTCAGTAGCAGAATTCTTAAAAGATGACGAGTAAGAAAAAGTGCTAGGACTTCCTGTTTCTCTTGTTGCAAAGTCGGATGTTAAATCCCTGTGGATGTAGCATATGTTTTAAATCATGTTCCTTTTTAACCTCTCAAAAAGAGCTAGGTTTGCATCGGACAATATGACTTTAAAATGTTTACTACCTTTTTTGAAAAACATGTTTGATGTATTTTCTTATACCTCAGTGTCACAGGAACGAAGGTAGCTTTATTTAGTATGCAGTTTCATAAATGCTGTGTGAAACCTTGACATTAATTCTGAATTTTATTAAAAAGGAAGTTTTGTGTAGAATAAAACGTGAATTGGTGTGAATCTCATCTTTACAAAGTCAACAGCACTGTTACTTTTGATCAGTTCCAGAATGGTCCTTGGGGGTGGGGGTGGGGGGCCAACAGCAGTTTAAAAACGAAGCTGTGCATTTTTAAGCATAATAATTTTCATCTCATGTAGAATTAAAGGAAAACATAAAACATTTTTGTATTTTATATGGAAAAAGAAAAAGGATGGATTAACAACTACTGCTACTCTTGGAGACAAAGTCCAATGCTGATGTATAATCTAAACCTCTATTATACTGCTCATTTAACGGACAAAACATTGAACTCTATGAAATACAAGTTTGTAAAGTAGGGAACCTTTCATTTGTCAGATTTACTTTTTTGATAAGTACAAGGATTGTAACCATTTTTAAAGGTAACTTCAAGGAACTGAGATCATTAACTTCATGGCAATTTACCAGTTTTCTTTCATCTAAAAAGATACAACATTCAAAATCTAAACAAAATACACTTTCAAAAAAGTCTCGCTTGTTTCTTCCCACATTCTTGTCTGAGTTACATGCGCGAAAGGTCATGGGCAAATACCCTTCTCTCTCAGTTCCATTTTTTTCCACGGGCCATTTGAAGGCCCCTCGTGTATCATTTGAAATGGCCTCCATTTGGTCTGAAATCCCAGCCAAGTACGTGAACTGAGATGAGGTCAGTGGACACACACGGGGGTGGATGGGAAGTAAAGGCACCTCTCACTCCTGTGCCCTTTTGCTCTGGTCTTCATGCCATAGCCATCTGAGCTTCACACCCGTACTGCTCCAATCACGGAAAGTCTTCTTGAAGTAGAAACTACCTGGGGAGAAGTCAACATGCCCCAGAGTGCTATCTGAGCAGTGAAGGAAGACAACTGCAACCATGGGAGGTAAGAGAACACTGCCTTGATGATAGCAAAGGCTTTGTTTTAAACGGCACTAGGGGCCTGCCTATAAAGTCCATGATTACAATGGGCAACCCACTGCGTCTGCCGGGAAATGGCCCCCAAAACATTTGTTCATTCTCCCTCTAAATTGCTTGGCAGGCCCTGAACAGAAGAGATGACTGTGCCCCAGCACTTCCCACCAAGACCACCTTCCAGGTTCAGGAAGACAAAGGATAGTTGGGTGTTTTTTTTAATCATTTTATTAGGGGCTCATATAACTCTTATCACAATCCATACATACATCAATTGTGTAAAGTACATTTTTACATTCGTTGCCCTCATCATTCTCAAAACATTTGCTCTCCACTTAAGCCCCTGGCATCAGCTCCTCATTTTACCCCCTTCCTCCCCGCAGCCCCCTCCCTCATGAACCCTTGATAATTTATAAATTATTATTTTGTCATATCTTACAC